CGTCTCATCGACGTCATCAGTGTCCTTTGAGTCGCTCAGTGCACAGCGGCCTCACCGACGTCGCCGCAACCCGGAGCCTTCTGATCAGACTTCCTCGGCATCCAAAGTCGAGGGTGAGGCCTCCCAGCCACCAGGTAGTTTTTTTCTAATTCTCACTACTTTGTATTTTTTTTTCATTTTAAAACTATTACTTTTATGATGGTGAAAATTTGCTGGATTGTGAAAATGTGTTGTGGGTTGTGAATTACTATTATTTTACTGTTTTAAGGTTTTGGGAAATGCTATACTATTAGGGGAGGTTGTGTCGAATTTTTTGTACAAATTTAAGCTTAGGGTTTTCACAATTTAAGTATTTTTGGCCAGCTAAAAAAAACACCAGGGCCTAGTCGAATGCTGAAGGAGTTACAGGGCGTATGTTAGACCAATTCCAAGATCAAGATTGCGTATGACCTGCGACATTGTGGAGTGGCTACCTCACAGTAGCATAACGGCGTTGCTAGTAGCTGTGGTGCTGTTATTCGAGATAATTGTCCTTTTCAGCGAGAGGGTGCAAGAACTTGTACAAGCCATACAGATGTCCGGCCTCCAAATCTCGCTACCAGTACCTTATCTTGCTCCATATTCGACCTCAGAGCCACCTCGTCCTGCCGATACCTAGTATCTTGATGTATTAAACCTAGTTCACTTGTAGTTTTTTTTTTGTTCGGACATCTTGTATGTACATTTTCATATATTTTATAATTAAATACTTTTGCTTGGTTAATTAATTATTCTTTAGAATTTAATTACAATATTTATCAAAAATAAAAAAAAAGTATTTTTCAGAAAAATAAAAAAAAATAATATTTTTCACTAAAAAAAAAAAAAAGGGTTTGTGCGACGCACGCCCTAGGATGTGTGTTGCGCAAAGAAGCTTTGCACGACATAGGTATGCGTCGCGCAAAGTGACTTTGCACGACGTAGTCCGTGCGTCGCGCAAAATGGCTTTGCGCGACGCATGTTATTTCTTCGTCGTGCAAACCCTAGCGTCACTGCCTTGCCGCGACGGTTAGCGCGCGACGAAGGTTGTGTCGCACAAACCCTTGGGCAACGATTTTTGACTTTGCACGACGAATATACGTACATCGCGCAAAGTGTTTTTTTTACTAGTACACTCTGCAAAATCCTAGTCTGAATACCCTATAACCTCTAGTTCTTCAGACTTTCTGTACGTGAGCATGTAGGATTTTGTTCTATGTAAGTATCTCATCACCTCTTGGCAGTCACCCAATGTTGCTCTCATGTGTTTGATTGAAACCTGCCAAGCACACATGTAGAAAATGAGAAGTCTGGTCTCGTGCATATATCAAGCTTCCCACCAATAATATATAGGGTTTACTCAGCTTGCTTTGCATCTCCAACTCATTGCTAGGGCATTGAGTCTTGTTTAGCTTATCACCTTTGCTCACTGGGACTTCACCACCTGAACAACACTCCATATTGAAGATTTTTAACACCTTTTCAATGTATGACCTTTGTGAAATTCCCAACAAATTTCTGAATCTGTCCTTGATGGCCTCAATGCCGCATACAAAGAAGGCTTCCCCTAAGTCTTTCATGTCAAGGGTTCATGATAACAATAATTTGGTTTCCAGCTACAGATTTAAATCATTGCTTGCAAGGAGTATGTCATCCACATATAGAATAAAAAAATAAATTTCGAACCAACATTCTTAAAATAGATGCAGTCATCAACTTTATTCTCAATGAAACCAATGTCAGTTACCTTTTGATCAAACTTCATAAACCATTGCCTCGATGCTTGCTTCGGACCATATATTGATTTACTTAGCTTGCAAACTAAAGTCTTCTTTCCCCTCTTCCACAAAGCCTGGAGGCTGTTGCATGTATATATCCTCTTCCAGATCACCATTGAAGAAGTTTGGATGGTTAGATCTTGAAAGGAAGGTGTACTCCAGGAAAGGCGGCTCACATTTTTGTTTTCCCGCAAACGCAAATTTTTCAAGTGTGTTTAAAGAAAACAAGTGTCCTTTGACAGATTTATCTGAAGGACAGACTGATCACTTTGTTAAACCAGTTATATGAGAAGAATTCTCGTTTACTGAGGCGAACTATTCAAAAGCCTTGGACATTGTAAAGGAATTTGGTGCCACTAAGCTGGCAGTTGAAGTCAAGAGAGCTGCCAAATCTCCTTCGAAAGTAATCAATGAAGTTGCGGGCTTGCTGGTAAAGGAGAAAGAACTGCCTGCATAACTCTTAGAGCGTCCTGGAGATATAGTTGTCCTTCCGGCACAATCGTTCAAGAATCCAATATGAGACTCACTAGGGATGGAGCTTTGGCATGTTATTTCCAAATCACTTAACGCTCATCCCCTTGCACGCCAAGTAACTAATGTACACTCTTGAAGGTTGTTTAGTAGTTATTTGATTTACTCATGTTCATGAGTGGTTATTTGATCTATGCATACGACTATCATTTGCATATATTCAAGACTTGAATCTGTTGCAACAGGGTCGAGTTGCATCAACGGCTACAAGGGACAGTACTTGGAGATTCTTGTAGGAGATAATGGAGGGGTTGAGCATCGCGAAAATGGAAAACTCTTTCTTTCGATACTACTAAATGCATGTTCTCCTGGGGAAACCATTCTGAGAAGCTCCGCATGGCCTCCCTGAATTGCAGACATGAGATTGTTGTAGATTTGTTTGCTGATATTGGAAATTTTGTTCTGCCATTTCTTGTCAGGTATATCTCACTCGTGAATAGAATATACAGAGTTTGTTTCTTGATCCCCAATTTCAGATTTCTTCCAGATTTGTCAAATCTTAAAGTGTATAGGACATAGAAATAGACAGTCAATTGCTGCTGATGTTGTTTTTCGCCCTTCAAGTTGCCTTCATGGATGCTGTTTCTACGTGATAATGTTGGTTGACCAGGGCCAACGTAAAACTAGTTCATGATTGTGAATGGAATCCCCATGCTGCTGAGGCACTCCGGCAAAATGTTCAAGCCAATTCAGTTGGTGATCGATGCATTGTTCTTGAAGGAGATAACCGGATATAAATATCATTCAACTTGTGCCTTCACTTTATGTATTATACTATGCAAGTTAGGCACTTTGTCAAAGACAAGGTTCTGATGTGGTTTCCATAACATGTTTTCTCACACGGAGTGGCTGATCGGGTCGGACAAGGATTGTTTGCCCTCCCACTTCTCGTACCTCCCTGTTTGTGTGGTCACGGTTAAGACACGTCAACATTTTATATTACTATTCATTTTTGTCTTATTATCTCTATAAAAAAAGAATATAAAATGTTAACGTGACTTAACCGTGACCATTGCCTAAAATATCGATATTATCCCGATATTTCCATCGAAATTTCCGTGTTTTTGGACTATCGATATTTTCAATATTTTAGACCTTGATAGGAACTCTATGTGGTACTAAGTCACTCATGTATCTTACCATGCATTGTATAAAGTGTAAAATATTGTACTAATTCATTATATATAAATGATTATGGTGTTTAAACTTCTTTCATTAATTACTACATATTTTCTACACTCACAATGTTTGTCAGTTCGCTATATAATCAACTTAAATTAATTAAATCCATCATGTAATGCATTTCCTTCCAATTTTTTGTGATAAACTAATAGATAATTGACTAAATAAATATCCTGCAAAGTTTCAATAAAAATTTCTAAGTTTTTCTTACAATTTCCGTGGTTTTTATTCAATTTTTATCGATATCGATAATATCCCGATATTTCCATCGAAATTTCCGTGTTTTTGGACTACCGATATTTCCGATATTATCGATATTTTAGACCTTGACCGTGACCACATAAAATAAAAGGACACGGGAGGGCACCGAAAGTGGAAGGGCTGTCTCGGTCTCATTCCAACAAGTGAGGGTAGATGGGTCATTGCTGATAGGGCATTCACTTCAAGATCCACATTTTTGGCCTGCTAGATAATATCCGAGGAAAGAATTGGAAATAGGGAATTTTAACGAAAAGCACCCGGTACTGTTTACTTTAACCAAAAATCACATTTTTACACTAAAAAGTCAATCCTGGTACTATTTACTTTACCCTTTATTTTGTCCTTATCATTAAAATTCAAAGTTTTCAAGCTCTTTTCATTAATTTTCCTTTGGAAATAATGATCGATTTGTAAACTTAAGGGCAAATACGAAATTAATGAAAAGATTTGTCAACTTCAAATTAAAATTGAGGGCAAGTACAGAGAGGGAAAGAAAAAAAAGGAGTGTGTGTGGGGGAGAGATACATAGCTGAGTGACAGCTGAGGGGAAGATTGAAACTACACGGGGAAGAGGAGTGGTCACGTGGGTGGGTCCCACGGACCAAAGCCAAATTATTTAAAACGTAGGTCCCACTGATCAGAACTAAATGATTTAAAATATTAAAAGTTCGTTTAGATATATTTTTAAAATAATTGAAATCGTTTTTTGAAAAAATCTTTTTGGATTTCAAAAACTGTAAATACGGAAAATTCCATTTCAATGTCTACAAAAACATTTGAAGTATTTTCTGCAAGAAGCACCAGCTATGTGTTTCATCCAAAAAGCATTTTAAGTGCTTTTTCAGGTTTACTTGCAATTTTTTTAAATATTAATTTTAAAAATATTTTCATTAAAAATATTTTTAATCATTTTAAAAATATATCCAAATAAACCCTAATTAATTAGTATTGCTCTGGCAATAGTAGGATGCGACAGGTGAGGGAAAAGTGAAACTACGAACCAGAACTTTAATGATTTATTTTATTTTATTCTTTTATAACAATATTATTTTACTTTGATAAGTAATGAGTGACTTTAATTTCACAATCAAATGCCTTGTTAAACGTGTTGTCACGAGATTAATTTGTGTTCCCAATTTACCCTCGCAATGACAAGAAAATGGAAGGTTAAATGTGTAATTGGCTGATGTTCTCCCTTCCACTAAACCTTTATAAAAAGGGGCTAGGGTTGGGGAGGTAGGCATCTGAAACTTGTTTTCCTCTCGTGTTCGCGAGCTCTGACAGCCGTCCCAGCTTTCTCTTCCCTTTCACTTCGTAGTAAAATTCACAGACCAACCCCCAAAAACCCAAACTTGAACTCTCTGATTTCTTCCCTCATACATTCATTATGTCTTATAATGTGTTCAGTTGATCAAATCCCTCAACTTCCATCCCCAACAAAATCATAATGGTTGAGGAATATCCTTCACCTTGGATCGATTGTTACTTTTTCATCCCTCAACTTCCATCTCCCACTTTTCCACTCCATCTGACATCATCGTTACTTTTTCACTATTAAATCTCACACTTCTTCTCTCACGTCCCATTCCCCAATTTTATTTTATTTTTTCCCTATGTCAACCGGCTCTCCCTCCCTCACGTCCCGCTCCCTCATTTTCCCTCTTCCATTCCCTCTTTCCACTCATCTTCCTCGCATCTCTACTATCTGCCTCCGGTAAGGGAAATGACCTCTCTCCAGAAAAAGAAAATAAAAAGAGAAAGAGGAAGAAAATGAAGATAGAAAGAGAAAGAAGGAAGAAAATGTAGAGAAATCTTGGATTTGGATACTTGATGTTGAAGCAGAGGATGATACTGCTGCTTGTGCTGGGCATTTTGCATCCAAAGTCCCAAACTCTAACCCTACCCCACCAAACCCTAACCCTACCCCAGCAATCAGGTATCAATTTTAACTTTCTTATGAATCCTAATTATTTCTGTGAAACTTTTATATTCTTAATTTCTTTTATGTTAGAGAGTTTAAAAATAGACATTGGCTTGCCATGAAGTCTTATATTAAAATGTGACTTAAGATTGTGTGCACATGCTCCAATCCAAGTAGAGAGAATATCTATAAATAAATATAAAAATTTTAGAATATAAAAGTTTAATATAATACAGATAAAAAATAAAAGGAAATAATTACAGTTCACTAAGAAAGTTAAAATTAATGTCTTATTGCTGGGATTATGAATGCAAAATGTTTAAAAGAAACTAAATATATTAATTTTGCTTGCAATCAAAGCCTACAAAAAAAAAAACATAAATCACATAAGAATTATATGCATACTAACAATGATTTCTGATCAATTTGTGTCAGGAGTTCCATTAAACATTTCTGTTAATTTTAACTTTCTTATGAATCCTAATCATTTCTGTGAAATTTTTATATTATGAAGATTTTATATTTTTTATGTGTATTTTCTCCCTGCAGTTCAATGTATCACCAGTTTTACTCCACTGGGCTACTTTTCTATTTCATCGAAGCACATGTGCACATAATCTTGAATCATATAGTCTTCAATGAAAAAATTCATGGCAAAGCAATGTTTATCTTTAAACTCTCTTAACATAAAAGATATTATGCAATGGAAGTCTGACTCTGTCCACTTTATAAGTGATAATTTTCTTAACATACAATTTTCTGTTTAGAATAGTGAGTATGAGTCTTTATTTTGTAGTGAGAGGGTGAAGTGTTCTCTCAAAGACTATTTAGGTCGTTTTCCCAACAAATTCGAATGGCAGAATCCAACTGCAATTATACCAAAGATTCGTCATGTTGTTAAGGGGGTTCGGGAGATCTTTTTGAAATACAATTCTAATAAAAAAGATTTTAAACATATCCACCTCGAAAATTTATATTGAACTGGTAGGAAAATCGTGGGTATTATGTTTAGGAAGGATCCGAATATCATTGATTTAGATGCTCTACAAACCACGTTAATTGAAATGTTCGATCCAAATCAATGGCACTCAGCCCTTCCTAAACATAACACCGACGATCTTTCTACCAGTCCAATATAAATTTTTAGGTGGATATGTCTAAAATTTTCTTTATCAGAACTGTATTTCAAAAAGATCTTTAGAATTCACAACATGACGAATCTTTGGTATAATTGCAGTTGGATTCTGTCATTCAAATTTGTTTGGAAAACGACTTAAATATTCTTTAAGAGAACACTTCACCCTCTCACTAAAAAATAAACACTCATACTCACTATTCTGAACAGAAAATTGTATGCTAAGAAAATTATCACTTCTAAAGTGGACAGAGTCAAACTTCCATTGCAAAATATCTTTTATGTTAAGAGAGTTTAAAGATAGACATTGCCTTGCCATGAAGTATTTCATTGAAGACTGTATGATTCAAGGTTGTGTGCACATGTGCTTCGATGAAATAGAAAAGTAGCTCAGTGGAGGTAAAACTGGTGATACATCGAACTGCAGGGGAGAAAATACACATAAAAAAATATAAAATCTTCATAATATAAAAGTTTCACAGAAATGATTAGGATTCATAGGAAAGTTAAAATTAACATAAATGTTCAATGGAACTCTTGATACAAATTGATCAGAAATCATTGTGAGTATGCATATAATTCTTATGTTTTTTTTTGTAGGCTTTGACTGCAAGCAAAATTAATATATTTAGTTTCTTTTAGACATTTTGCATTCATAATCCCAATTCCAGCAATAAGGTATTAATTTTAACTTTCTTAGAGAACTCTAATCATTTCCTTTTATTTTTTATCTGTATTATATTAAACTTTTATATTCTAAAAATTTTATATTTATTTATGGATATTCTCTCTACTTGGATTGGAGCATGTGCACACAATAAAGTCACATTTTAATATAAGACTTCATGTCAAGCCAATGTTTATTTTTAAACTCTCTAACATAAAAGAAATTGAAGTTCGACTCTTTTAAGTTTATATCTAATAATTTTCTTAGTATATAATTTTCTATTCAAAATAGTCAGTAAGGCGTTTTATTTTTTACTGAGAATGTGGAATGTTCGCTCAAAGATTATTTAGGTTGATTTTTGAACAAATTCGAATTGCAGAATTCAACTGCTATTTTACTAGAAATACCCTATATTGTGAAGGTAATTTTTGAGTGTTTTATGAAATACAGATCTGGTAGAGAAACTTTTAGAAGTATCCACTATGAAAATTTATATTGGATTGTTAGGAAGGTTGTTACTGTTATGTTTAGGAAGGATACGATTGTTGATGGTGCCACAAATGACTTAGATGCTCTACAAACAACGTTAACTGAAATGTTTGATTAAAATCTCTCAATTTATCTTAAGGTATTATTGAAACAACTTGAATTGTAATCATTGTGAGTATACATATAATTTTTATGTGATTTATGTATTTTTGTTTGTTTTTATAAGCTTTGACTGCAAACGAAAATAATTTATTAAGTTTTTTTTCTATTTTTTAGACCGTTATAATATCTGCTGGATAATCATCATTCTCAAATGAGATCTGGATAATCATCATTCTCAAATGAGATCTGAATCAAAGATAAGCTACATAACTTATGTTGTTCGTAAAATACTGGAAGGCTCGGTAAGGTTGACAAATAAAACCAACTTAAAGAATCATTGGAATACTCATCGAATTTGTCATAGTGTTTCAGTTGTGTTATGGAACCAATTTTTCTCCCACTCCCATACGTACCACCCAATTAATGGCACAGCTAGAACACTCTGACAAATTGGATGAGTTTTCCAATAGTCATCCAGCACCATCGCCTCCTCTACCTCTATTTAGGTATTGGTATTGGGTACACTACCTCCACCTCCATATCCACGAAACGCTGTCCTATGTGGTTCCCCTACTGGTTATCACAAGGCACTACAAGAAATTCAAGGTATTAATTTTTGAGTTTCATTCTGCACCATACCTTTACTCTGTGGTTTTATTTAATATTTTTTCACTCGTAATTTCTTATATTTTGTTCTAAATAAACAAAAAAAACTTTTAATTCGTTTTCTTTATTGGGACAGATGAGCGCCTTTCATCGGTTCTCTTCTTCACCGGAAAATATTGCCGGACTAGTAAGTCCCAAGTCTCGTGAACCATGAATTTACTTTCGTTTTTTAACTAATTTATGAATGTACATTCATCATCCTGAATCATCATTTTGTTCCTTTTTTCTTTCTTTCAAGTAATGAATTTACTTCTTGGGCAGTGCAGGCTCTAAAGGGATACATCCATTATTTCTGGATTTATGCAACAAGTGTAAACATATGACAGTGTATGTTTTTCCCCTGCCAGCAAAATGCCTAGGAGGACCAGCACAAACAGCATCTCGCATCCTCTGCTGCAACATCAAGAATCCAAGATGAATTGTTGGTTATTGACTGGTGATTTGGGCGTTTTTCACTTGTTTAAAATCCTTCAGGAGTTTGGATGTTCAGCTTGCATGGCAGCTAGTGATGCTTCATCAAGTAATCAAAGAAGTTGTGGTTAGTAGATTATAGAAGATTTTGTTACCTATCACATTTTCAATTAAAACCGAGAGACGAGGGATGCACAAGGATTTGCTGGTTAGTAGATTCATTGACCATGTATGATATTGAATGTATCCGAGTTTTGTTTTGAATTTTTCCTTTTGTTTCTGATGATTGAACCAGATAAAATTTTGTCAATGAAAAATTGAATTGCATTTGTATTTCATTGTATTTGAACTTCATCCGATGCAGAATTTTGAACATTCACCGTCCGGCCAAAAAGACACTCCCACCACCTGTTTTTGGTCTTCTCACCCCATGAATAGTGTCTTCAACCGGACGGCCGCGTGGTCCATTCTATCTACTTCTCGTCTCTAAATTTTATTTGATGGTAAAATTTATAGAACTGAACATGATCGCATGGTTGTCTGGCTCAAGACATAAAACAGTACAGCTGTTCAATAGCGTCTTAAGCCGGGTGGCCATCACAATGTCATGCGGTTCCCTCTTCTAGTTTCTGAGTACAGATTGGACATAAAATTGGAAATCCAGCTGATTTGTGTATTAAGGAAGCTCACGTATAAATGTCAAATTGTCAACGCAGGGCAACATTTTGTAGGACTCGAAACAGTCAATAAAAATATGTTTTGGAATGAGGAACTTCTGCAATGGGATTTAATTAAAAAAAAAAAAAGATGTTGTATTGTGCGACTGATTTTAACACTTTTTAGATGAATAACGTCAAAGATAGAATGTCTAATTATAAGCGTTATACTCCCGCATACATGAAACGAGTTTATTTCCAAGGTATCAAGAAAACGGATTGATAAAAAGTGTTTAATATAAATAGTTGAAAAAAATGTAAATGCGCAATCAATTATATTATTACATTTGATCAACCAGACCGTATTCATGTCACATTAAAAACTCTCTCTCAACGTGACTTGATTTGCGGATTTCGTACACGATTCATTTCTATATAATATGAAACAGGGAAATGCTAGTACTCTTTCACTTTATGACTTTCTACAGTCTCATATTTTTATCATAATACTTTATAATTTTAGTATATAAATTATGTCAGAAACATGAAACGATGAAGAATCCAAAATTCCTATTATAAAGAGTTTTCCTAGTATTTTTCTATAAAGTATGCACATGTGGTGGATAATATTTTTCTTGTCAGCGGGGGAATCTGATAATCAATGCTCCATGTGGATCTCGAGATACTTGGTCATAAAGTCATGGAACTAGGATTCTTTATCTTATTAATTAATAAACATGTGATTAATTCTCTTTAATCATCTTTAACAGCTCGAGATCCATACTTAATTAGTTTAAGAAGATAATTAATCTGTGAGACACTGTCAGTGTCATTACTCTTGGGGATCCACCTACACAACTTTAGGGTACGTATACATGAGTGCTGTTCATTGCGGGTGAGAGTGTCGGTAGCCTTGTCACTGTTAGGGACCATATTAGCTTTGCTTGAGTTAGGCGTCACGCAATTTTCATATTATTAACTGTGTTATGATGGCTTTAAAAATTATTGTCTAGATGCGTTTTGATTAACTTTTATGTCTTTAAAAATTAAGAAAATGTGACTAGACGTTTACTTAGACATAAAATAGATAAATTTTATTTTGTATTTTTTTTAATAAACTGTCGGACTTGTTAAATATTTAGATGATCGCTCATTTTATTTTGCAATTTATATATTCCAATACAATTATGTACTTTTTAAAACGTTTAGGCTTTATGCACCTACTTACTGCCTAACGCCTTTTAGAACATTACATTTATCATTAGCGTACATTATAGTGGTTCTTTTCAGGTTCAACTCACCAAAAAACTAACGAGTTTGATAATGCTAGACCAAATTGTCGTTTCTTCTGTTCAATTTTTCTCTTTCGTTTGGGTTGTGTTGAAATTGGAAGGTCACTTTCTTGTACAAGTTTTACTTCCAAGGATTACATTATCATTCTATAATCTCAAAACAATCCAAAACTAAATTGTATTATTTGTTTGGCAATGAGTAATTTGATTTGAAAGGGCTTTTTTCTTTTGAGAACTTTAACGAAAAGCTCATCGTATTGTTCACTTTAATGAAAAATCATATTTTTACACTAAAAATTCAATTATTGTACTATTCATTTTACCCTTTATTTTGTCTTTATCGTTAAAATTCAAAATTTTCAAACTATGTTCATTAGTTTTTCTTTTTCTTTTTCCAAAAGATAATGTTATACTATTTTATTTTCCTTTTCTTTTCTTCCCATGAGCCGGCATGCAATTATTATAGTTTTTGCCATTGCTTTTCCGCATTACATTCGGCTTCAGTGGCACTCAGGAACGCTTTATTCTGAATAATTTTATATTACGGCAATTTTAATTTTTATGTTTGTTAGAGCTACATTAAACTGTAGATTATGTAATATGCATCGTTTAGAGCACATGATCGGATTAAAATGAATTACTCTCTAATTATTAAAAAGAAAAGTGAATGGTTGTTTATTTGAAGGAGATCAGATGAGGATTCGCGATGAATGATCCCTTTTAATTTTACTTTTCTTAGAGAGGATTAGAATGAACAATTTTTTTTACAAGTAAGGTGATCATAATTTTATAACTTCTCCTTTGTCAACTAAGCTTTAGTTTTATAATTAATAGCTATGTCGTTAACTTATAGTATGTAGAATGATAGCTTTTGCGATATGATTTTTAAATTATAATAAAGATAAAAACAGGTTTGATTATGATGTTCAACGAAAATGTATTAATTATAAATGAGAGAACAAGTAAGTTCCCTTCAAGAGGACCACAAACATTATCCATAACTTGAAAAACCTCTCTAAGGTTACTTAATTATACGATCTAGTGATATTTCTCTTCACTTGTAAATAAGAGATATTAGATTCGATTCTCGTAAAAAAAAATGAAGATGAATCACATTATTATAGCAAACATATTATGAAACTTGTTTACTCCCCACTCTCGTAGTTTAAATACTATTGTTTGTTAAAAAAGCACTAAAATATTGCATCCAGTTCAGTCGGTGCATCGTAAAATTTCTGATTACAAAGTGACAAATTTGAGCACAAAATGAGAGCATTAAAGTTCGAGTCTGGTAGTTAATTAGAGCAGTGAATACAATGCTGAAGGTGGTCAAAAGCATCACATGTAAATTCCCCAAAATAGCTACAGTGTCGCATATTTTAATACCATTTGTCCATCTCTCCTTTTATTTAAAGAGCCTCTCAGCTCAGTGAACTTTACTGATATCACCACCAACAAAAGCAGAAGCACAAAACCATGGCTTCTTCTTCTTCTTCCAGAATTCTCTTCTTCTTCTTTGCTTTGCTTTCTCTCTCAGCAGTTTCTTGCTTTGCTGAGAGCAATGAGCAGGATCCAGGTCTTGTCACCGACTTCTACAGGGACACGTGTCCTCAGGCTGAAGAGGTGATCAGAGAACAAGTCAAGCTTCTCTACAAGCGCCACAAGAACACCGCCTTCTCTTGGCTCAGAAACATCTTTCACGACTGTGCTGTCCAGGTATATATTCATTCATACGAGTCACTTTTTTTGTAGGCAATGTTTAGATTAAAAGTGCTTATGCTAGAAGTGCTTTTATTGTAAACATGTCCTAATTTTTCTCAGAAAATCCAAGTACTTCTTGGAAAAAGCACTTGAAAGAACTTTTAGCCCTTTCTTGAGATACCGCCACAATAACTCCCGTAATTTGCTAGGTGTTTCTACTAGTGAAATTATTAACCAACTGTTATCTTTATGCAGTCATGTGATGCATCTCTGCTGCTGGACTCAACAAGGAGATCGTTGTCTGAGAAGGAGATGGACAGGAGCTTCGGTATGAGAAACTTTAGGTACATTGAAGAGATTAAAGAAGCTTTGGAGAGGGAGTGCCCTGGTGTTGTTTCCTGCTCAGATATTCTTGTCTTGTCTGCAAGAGAGGGTGTTGTTAGGGTATATTTTCTCTTTACCTAATTTATCTTCCCTTGACTTTCTGCTTTTATCCACTTTTGGTTCACAACTATGTTCTGTAAAGCAGAGATCTGAATTTGGTTAATTTTTTTTCTCAAATCTAATTTAGTAATTTTCCTTTTTAATATAAAGGTCAAAATCACGAAGAATTAGTACTCAGATCTATTTATTTTCTTTACTTTTTTATGTCGTTTTGCTAAACTGTTGAAGTAAATATTTAACTAAACCATATTTTTGACTTATTTACTGTGTTCTCAGCTAGGAGGCCCATTCATTCCTCTTAAAACTGGAAGAAGAGATGGAAGGAGAAGCAGAGCTGAGATCCTTGAGCAATACCTTCCTGACCACAATGAGAGCATGTCCGTTGTCCTTGAGAAGTTTGCTGACATGGGCATTGACACCCCCGGTGTGGTCGCCCTTCTAGGTATATATGCTCTAGAAAAGCTTTTACTAGAAGCGCTTTCAAATGTTAAAATAAAAATCTAAGTGCTTTTTGAGAAAAATCCTTCTTAAGGAAACACTTTTTAAGTGTTGTTTCAACCCGAAAGCATTTTTAGGCCTCGTTTGAGATGCTTCTTTAGAAATCGCTTGTGCTACAAGTGCTTCTATGATGCAAACGAATTTTTTTAGAGAAACATAGTTTATAGTTGTTTTTTGTTCTCTAGTATTTTTTTTATATAAAACATTATCAGAAACGTAAAATTTGGTCTTATTTATTGTAACCGTTCTCTAGTAATTTTTTTATATAAAACATTATCAGAAACGAAAATTATGGTCTTATTTATTGTAACCAATTACAGGAGCTCACAGCGTTGGAAGAACACACTGTGTGAAGCTGGTGCACCGGTTGTACCCAGAGGTTGACCCTCAGCTCAACCCTGATCATGTCCCTCACATGCTCAAGAAGTGCCCTGATGCTATCCCCGACCCCAAAGCCGTTCAGTACGTGAGAAATGACCGTGGTACCCCCATGATCTTCGATAATAACTACTACAGAAACATCTTGGACAACAAGGGTTTGATGATGGTGGACCACCAGCTAGCCACGGACAAGAGGACAAAACCCTACGTCAAGAAAATGGCCAAGAGCCAAGACTACTTCTTCAAGGAGTTTTCGAGAGCCTTCACCATTCTCTCCGAGAACAACCCTCTCACTGGAAACAAGGGCGAGATCCGACAGCAGTGCAATGTTGCCAACAAGATCCGACTAGAAAAAAGCAGCTTTTCCAAGAAGCACTTATCTTCTTAAGTTATGCAACTAATGGAGAAATTGTGTGCGACAAGTTGCTGGATAATAAGATGCTTTATTTTTTTCACCTAGATGTATGTTTTGTTTTTATGGAAGTTGGTCAGTGCTAGGGTTAAAGGGTATGTGGTTTGTTGTACATGTTTGCCCTTGTTCGTGATGCACTGCTTGTGATGCAGGGTTTCGTTGTATCTTTTGGCTTCTTCTCTTGGGGTGAGATGGACATGGTGGATGGATGTCGGGATGTGTGTATGTATTTATGGATGGTTTGAACTTTTAAAATGTATTATGATGTATGAATTTCAATAATTATTGATGATTCATGTTTGCAAATTAAGCATCGTTCGCACATCATGATGATGTTGTGAAACTAATTATATAATCAAAACCCATCCCGCGGCCTCGTTTATGGTTATGCTCGACTAATTTGACGTGGTGGATTGTATAAATCACATATAATTCTTTATTTATCATATTCAAACCCTCTCTTTTTAATATTGTTTAAAGTAATAGTATTGTTGTTACTCAGTAGTCAGTACTACAGTATGGTGATATTTCTCTTCGTTTATAAGTGAGAGGTCTTAGATTTGAATCTAGTAAATGGAAAATTCGATACCAAATTAGGTTACTCGTTGTATGACTTAACCAAACTTTCTCTCCTCCTAGTGTAATAATATCATTTAAATTATTGATAAGATTCTGAATCTCAAATAAAGGAGATAAGCGATAAGTGGACTAATTAAATTTCGGTTGGTGGGTCGGTAGTATAAAGAAAGGGACTTCAGAATCAATAATTAGAGGATGGTTCTACAAGCTTTGCATTATTGATTTTAAATAATTAGAAAATGCCAAGACAAGCAATGATATAAAAGGAAAGAAAGCATATGAAAAGCTCAAATGGCAACAGATGGCATTGGATCTAATCCTAATGTCTTTAGATGTGAATCCTAGAGACAGATTGTTACACATTGATAATTAGTAGAAAGAGATTTTTCAGTATGTTTGAAATACAGACACATACGTGATATGTCATTATATAAGTAAAGTGACACCTAAAGAAAAAACTTTTCACCACTTATATAATAACGGATCATGATCCTCTCCTGAGCAAAGGGTGAGAATCCTCCTGACCAAGCCCATAAGGCCGTTGAAATTTTATTCAACGGCTACAAACAGGGGGCCCCTCTAAAAGTTTTAATAATTGTAACCGTTGGATAAATTTTCAACGGCCCGATGGGCTTGGTCAAGAGGATCCTCACCCTTTGCTCAGGAGAGGACCCTGATCCTATAATAACATATGTGGTGTCGTCTCATATTTCAAGCACATTGAAAAATCTCTTGTTCTTAGATGTGAAACAACTTGGGTATATGGATCGATGTTGAGTCCATGGACCGCGTCATTTATAATCAAGCACTTTTTACAAAAGTATGAGACTCTCATGTATTTTGATCTCACTCGACTCTACGTAAGTCTCACAAGTTGTATAAGAATTATCGTAATTAAGCAATTTACCGAAATTTCTCTCTTTCACATATAATACATTATTATCTTGTGCACTATTGCTCATCCGCAATTGATATTCCTTGTCGCATATTTAGCCAATAGATACAAGGTCCATGATAATTGTATACCTAGCTAATGAAGACATTAAACTAAAGAAAAGATTGTGAAAAGGGGCACCCGTCGTGCCCTAATAAGGCCATTTTGACTTGAGTTTGAGTTTTTGTGCCAATTCGTGAATGCTCACGTCCAATAAGCCTACTCCGGATGCATGAGGAAGAATTTTGAAGAGGGAATCAAATTTGGGTATACGAGGAGGGTCACACTGTTATGGCTAACTTATTTAACCTACTTCTATATTAATGAAGATGTTGAAATGAGAAAAATGTGTCCCATTTATTCCACATCATCAGCTTTAACAAATTTGCTAGCGGACGAACGGGGAATGAAAATATGAGACATAATTCGAGTTTCGTAGAACTAAAGCAAGGGAGCTGTTGAGATGGTACGAATGGGTATGCCATCCGTGGGAACCCTATTTGAGATGGTTTCAAAGACCTTCAGGAGCGTAGCCTTTGAATCAATAATTTATCGCACACTTGGTTGCAAAGGTCTATAATGAGAGAGAGGGTGTGGGCTTCAATGAAGTATTTAACCTTAAAAGAGTTAAGTGAGACTCAATTAAATTTAAGAGATATAAATGAAGTTAAGCACCATAAAGAGAATAAGCAACACATTTCGAGCTTCAAGGGATTCACTAAGACTCAAATTGAGTTTCATGGGGCGTAGATGTATATAAGCCGAAAAAATATGTTGGTGGAAAAAATTGTCAAATGGATATGTTCACTCATCAGGCCCAATGGGCCTGATCCGAATCCTAGTCTCAGCAGCCCAAGATACCCTAAGCCCTTATATAAACCGAACCCTTTGGAATTGGGAACGACAAATGCCCCGATCAAATCGCAGTTAGGGTTTCTTCTTCGCGAGAGAGAAAATCCAGGACTTCTGCAATGGATTCGGGTCTCGGAAAATGGGCGGACGCTTGCCTGCACTGCGGCAAATGTGGACACGTCAGCCAGAATTGCAGGCTCAAGAAGCACACCGTTGGGGCCGCCAACACCATCGAAGTGATCAACGAAGCTCTGTTTTTGACCGTCGATAGCCCGCTGGAGTCGTGGATCACCACCCCCGGCGCGCCGCCTTCCAATGCTCGCCGCTCCAGGGGATCATGGAGAAGTACACCGCCGGAAACTACGGCAAGGCGTACCTGGCAAACAATGCGGCCTTGGACATTGTTGGAAGAGGTGACGTGCGTGTCAAGTTACCGAGTGGGGCTCGGTGGGTGCTGCACAATGTGATGCACGTGCCGGGTTTGAAGCGGAATTTGATTTCTGTGAGTCAGCTGACGAAGGAGGGCTACCAGGTTGCGATAGGGCCCGAGGGCTTCGTGGTTATGAAAGAACCTCTGGTGTTGTCTTATGGTTTTGAGGAGGTTCCTGATTTTGTGTGCTTTGTTTCCAAGGAGAAGATTGATCCTTCGCAGACGTACTTGGTTTGAGGCCGGAAATCGAGTTCCGTTGGGGCGGAGTTGCTGAATTGGGACTAGTTAGCTTGAAATGGTAGTATTTAGTTGGTATTAGTACAACCCTAATCAAGCTTAGCTCTGCTAGCAAAATGTTATGAATTTCGAATGTTATGTGCTGACTTTTAATGCCAATGAAGATCCCTACTTTGTCAAATTAGCTTAATTGACATGTAATTGTGTGATTAATTCATGCATATTTGGATATTTTCCAGTGATGTGTGATTTTCCAAGTAAAAGAGAACGAAATCTGGCTTTGATCAGCATTGCCCCGAAAAAGGATGGTGAAAATCTTGACGTTGCTTGGGGAATCGGATATCTTTGGTTCATTGATCGCTTAGATCTTGCTGCTTCATAAGCATGCCCTGCTAAAGATCTTGGTGCTTGGTTGTTCTGTTCTGGATGTTCTGAGTTAAAATGACGACGAGATCTGTCACAAAAACCAAAAATGAGGCTTATTTTCTTGTATTGAGGACAAGATAGAGGAATTGAACAAAACCTCTACCTTACCGCGATGCAAAAGGCGTTGCAGATGCAATGACTAAAGTGAAGTGTGCTATGTACTATCTCCACTGTGAACTTAGCAGAAGCTAAATTGAACGTCACGAATTTTGAAAATTACATAGCGGATGATGCGAAGCAGAGGACCAAAAATGCATCACTTTGCATCTGTCTTTTATTAAGAATAAGGTAGCTCAAGCTATGGTAATTTACAAGGAAGACAGATATGCTAATTCTTCTTTGGTTCAGTACTGCTTGAACTGCAATCGTAGCCACTATCAGCTTCCGCCGAGGCCACGCCATTTTTTCCTGCTGCTTCCACCATTTTAGGGATCAATGGACTGCAAGCCGGGTGGTTGTAATAGGGCTGTGGATGGACGAAGTAGTTTCCGGTAGAAGGGAAAGATTGGTACCCATATGTAGATTGATAAGGTCCCGGAGAAAATGTGTTTGGGGGAGGCCAATATACCATAGGCATAAAGGTGTTTGCTGGTTGTGGTGGAAAAATGTGATACGGGGTTTGACCAGAGTAGGAGATACTCGTACCAGCATTCGCGATTGCACTGTTTGGGATTGGTTGAGCATCTAATGGCGTCTGAGACAGGAATGTTGCCATTGCTTGAGCGTGAAGAATAGAGGTCTGATGACCTCCAAATTGTGTAGGAGGTGCAGAACTCAAAAGTGCAGTCTGTGGGAATGACGATCTCTGTATGTTAGGCTTGCTATTTGGGTGAGTTTGTTTTTTCGCCTTTGTTTTTGTTGAACCAGACTTGCCACAGAACTGCTGAGAACTGGGACTAGCCTGCTGAAAGAAAACAACATCAGTCTTCAGAAACTCGAATATATTTGTCAACGTTAAGTCGAAACTAGGAAGTGCTCAGATATATGAACCGGGAAGTTGATCTTACAGTATCACTAGTCATAGGATGTGGAAGAAATAATTCCTCCTCTTCAGCATCCTCATCCGTCCTACAAGGAAAATCACGTCGTGCTTTAGAATTCACAAATTTTCGAAGATACAAAAACTATCCGAATAGCTTTTCCATAAATATTCATTTCCTAGTAGTATCTTAGGATGAAATACCTATAATACTTCTGAAGCAAGTCTAAGTTCCGGTATTTAGTTTCTCGTTGAACCAGATCATCAGGAAAACCAGCCATGAAAAGAAGAGTGATGCCCAAGGTCTTGAAGAAGAAGCTCCCACTGCGAACATGAACGAGCATTGCCATTCGACACATTAGTGGCCCGAAAGACTTCAGCTTGTTTCTTCCCATACGCTGCCTGACATATCTGAAACATATTTATGCAGATAAAATTTTTAAGTTAAGCTGCAAAACAGAAATCCCTGCTGACTTAAAAGTTAATGACTCCAATAATGCTTACTCATTTTGGGGAAGATTTCGTGTTCTTCCGCCATACTTTATGCAGAGAAATAGCCATGATGGGCAGCTAGAATCCGATGGTCGCATAGCCTTCTCTTCTTCGAGTATTTTAACAGGACATAATGTCGGGTTCTGTTGGTTCGGGTAAAATACTTTCCTCCGAACACCGGGATTCTCATACAGAACATGCTCCTAGTATTAAATTAAGATAATAAAACATGTCACAGAAATCATTTATGTTAAATGTCGCAATGAAAGGGAATTGAAAGACTATTTGTGCAAGGACAAGAACTAGAGCAAGCATAACGCTAAATTTCCTTACCCCAGGATCTTTCGAAGACACGAATGGTTCTCCCTTCCTTAAAATGCTGAAATGATTGAAGTCTAATTCGTATATATCTTCACAGCCGTGCCTTATTCCGAGTGATGCGAAAACTATGATCTTCCTCATTGTGTGGGATTGAGCATTTTTCTGCAGCAGGGCTTCTGAATCAATTATTCTCTTCACTTCTTTCGGGCAGAATGCCACCTTCGGAGGTTTTTTCTGTTGCGATGTGCTTGTTGATCCTGCATGGAAAACTCTGAGAAATTAAGGGTATCAGATGGCACCTTGCCACTTCCAAAATCACTAGGTTCCTTATTGTTTCCGGTGTGAAGTTGCATCTCATCACAAACTGGTCCTGTATCGGGTGGTTCATTCGTTTCTTGGTTCGCATTTGGAATCACTGGCTCGTTCCCACCTGCAAAAACTATTTCACATTGCGCATCCAATCCCTTATCAACAACTTCACATTTCGGTTCACTAACAATTCTTGAAACATCATCAGCAACTTCCCCTTCTTTACAGGCATTATTAACATAATCCTCTTCCCGGTAATCATCATCTTCGTCATCGCTATCATCAGTGACACCGCAGTCTGCTGAATCTCCGCCATCTTTAACTTTTCCTAAATGCAAAAACTGAGTTTCCTCCATGCTCATCCAGTTGACTAGACGGTCTTCCAGAATTCGATCTTTAAGGGCCAAGCATTGCTTGTGGTGCTTCTTCTGCAAAGCCATTACGGTTGGGATAACATTTCCATCTTCGATTCCATTGTTGTCGAGTTCTGTCTTCCGTCGCTTGAACTTCTTTAAGTTTCTTGTCATTGCATTGGAAGAACGGTCCTGCATCCAAATAATGGGTGTGGCATTAACATTTGCTCTACTCATTAGAAGTGTTTTTAGTTGTCAGAAAGCGCTCTTAGCCATTTCAGAAGTGTTCTCAAACACTGCTAAAGTGCACTAACAATTATTTAAAAACAAAGAAACAACCAAAAAATAAAAATGGTGGTCTTACTTGTCCGTCTGCTCGATGTGGAGGCTCCTTCTTCTCTCGTTCTTGTAATTGAGCTTCAAGAATTAGTATCCTCCCCATGAGTTCTGCATTCTTCTGCCGTTCCCTCTCGAGTTCGGCCGAAATCTCTGCAACGATATTGACGCTCTCACCTTTCATTCCTTCCTCTATAGCGCACAGTGCAGAAGAATTTACCGAGGAGCACAAGAGTGAAGCTCCACCATTGATTAGACAAACACCAATTAAGAACTAAATCCTTAGAGAAAATGAATTCTGAAGAAAGATAACATATTTAAGCAAGATTTGAATACCCTATGAAGCAAAAAACTGCAAAAAGTGGAGGGTTTTTCTTTCGTTGCTTGGCTTTTGTTTCAGTTTGTAAATTGGAAAAGTAGAGCGGCGAGGGGGCAGACATGCAATTGCACGTGCACATCTCTCCCTCCTCTCTCATTAGACTTCAGTGTTACTCACTCTACATCAAATCTATTCATCTATCAAAGTGATTTTCACATTCTTTTTTGTTACGTTTTTATATTTATTTATGATATTTAGACTGAATAAATCAAATAAAAATAAACACAAGTATACATAAAAAAGATGAATAATGTGCAGAGATCCTTTCTCTTCACTAATTTATTTTCTCATATCAAAGTAGATAATCATAACAACTATCACGGGTTGTCTCAATGATCGGGGACGAATTTCAAGTTTGTATTTCACCCGACACGTCTTCAGTTCAATCTTTAATACTGATAAATCACATAATGGTAGCAGATGGCTGACGTACTTCTATAAGTCTTTCTGGCTTCCAATCGTAGTGAAGCCACCAACTAATCTTTTTTAAAAAGAATGAAGTTGGTAACCACAACATTTTTAAGTATACATTTTTGGAAAATGATTGATTCCAATCCAAATTTATATCATTTTTCTGGAATACTAAAATTTAATAAGAATCCAACAAGGCCTCACCATTTTTTTTATTTAATATTTTTGTAAACGAGCTTTGAGTCTCACAATTTGGTGACAACAACTCACAGTCACAGTTGTGAACTAATATAAATAAAGGAAATTGTCTTGTTATGGAAGTGGTGAAGCTGCAGGTGCCCCATCTCTCAGTAATGCAGGATTAGAGAGCATCCTATGCACTTTTCCTATTTAAATAATAGTACCTAGTTTCCTCACCAAGTAAACACATATCTAATATATCATTATATATCATTATATATCATAACCCCTCCTTCACTTTACCTCACCAAACCAGTCTGTCATCTTTTGTATGCTTCTGTTCCTTGAAGATTATGTTAATCACACTGCTAAGCTAAACCAGCTTTGCACATAATCGGAAACGAACGAGTTTCACGAGCGCACGCAAGGATGAGAATCGAGCTGCATCGTGTTGAGTTCGTGTACCGTTTCAAGTTAGTGTCGAGTACTAATTAAATCCTAACCAAAGTGTGTATGTTTCTGTTTCCGTTAGACCATATATAAAATGAGTGCAGAAAATTTGATCTTGGAAATTTGAGGTCTGTCTTGACGTGGGTAATCCCATTAACCTCTTTTCACCTGGATGTATAAAAAAGAGGAAAAGGATCCTCTTCGGATCCTTTTTGTGGGGATTTGGGGATCAATCAATCGTGTCCGTTTATCATACATCGTACGATAAGTTTTCGTTAGATACTATTTATATTCAATTTTAAATTTGAAATGATTTATGACCGCATGATGTACGATGAACGAACATAATTTATTGATCATCAAGATCCCCACAAAAAGATCCGGAGAGGATCATTTTCCTAAAAAAGATGGGGGTGCACTGCACACGTGCACAGTATATATGGTCAGTGGGTAGCATGATAGAATATTACAACCTCACGTGGGAATGCTTTGTCTCTTCAAATGCAATTTGTGTCAGGGAATATGAAGGCTAAAAAGTAAAAACTTTGGATACCATCCTTCTAATTTTAAACAAAAATCCATCTTTTGGTTTGGGCACCTTCATTTGCTCTTTCCTAACTTAGTGTTCATGTAACAAGGAGTTAGTAGCTCGGTTGATTGAGAGAGTTTATCACTGCATTAGAAGTCCTAAGTTCGGTTTTTCTCTCACAGTATCACTTGTATAAAAAACTCTAGAGTTACAGATAATCTCATGACAGTGTCGCCTTGGTGCTAAAAGAGCAAATTTTCGGAACTATGAGAGCCCTCAAATTGGATGGGATCGCATGGAGTTGTGCAGAACCAATACACCTATGTTTTTGTGAGAGACGTTTTACGAATGACGAGGTGTATGTGATTGAATCCGTGGGCGCCCGAAATGGTAACCATTAAGAAATGTTTCTTCAGGGTTTGTATGGAAACTGTGCTGTAGAAGTCCTACAATAATTGAGTACACACCCCTTGATTCACTGGCTTTCTAATTTTCAAGACAAATAAATAGTATTCTAACAAGAGATCCTGTGATTGAAGGGTGTCAAGTGGATACCCTTCGTACGTATATTTTGTTTTTCTCTTGTGGAGTGTGCCAAAAAAATTAAAAAAGGATTAATTGAAGTTCAAGAATTGAGCCAAGTGGTTAATTACTGTCATATTCGTTGTTTGTGTGGACTTATAAATGCTGGGACTAGACTTGTTAAATTGGACATCAGTCTAACATGTTGGGTCTTACAAGTCTCATCTAGAACCAACAGGATCCTCTCCTGATCTTTTGGTGAAGATCCGTGAATCGTGTACGTTCATCATATATTATACGGTCAGTTTTTGTTAAGTACTGTTTGTGTTTAATTTAAAATGATTTTTGACCATATGATGTACGATGAACGGACACGATTCACGAATCCTTAGATCCTCACAAAGAGGATCCGGATTCCATCTGGAAGACTGAGACTCGATAGAATTTGCTTGGACCCAACTTCAATCATATCCGATCCTAGTAGCTGCACAACTGAAGCTAGAGAGATTCTATCATTCACTTCTAGTGTGTGCTCAATTCAAGGCCTGTGGGTGAGTGACCGTAGCAAGATCAGTTTAAATTAATTAAAATTGTAGTATATTCAGGAAATATTCATAACAAGATTGAACAGGAACTTCAAAAAAAAAAAAAAAAAAAGATAACCTGTAAATCGATGCACAGAAACACAACCTGATTAATCCAACACGAAAGTCTAGCTTCACATGCTCAAACTGCCCATTTTTTTTTATCAAGATTGGTCTAGTTTACTTCATACCTCCTGGAAACAATGCTCTGATACGACCTAACGGTTAAACTCACTTCCGCTTGTAAATTCTGAAATGCCCGTTAGTGAAATTAAAAGAGCTTTGCTGGTTGTTGAGCCCCACTTCTCATCATTGCACAGAATTCCGAATAGTTGATCCTCCCATCCTATTTGGTCCAAAGTAAATCAGTATAAAACATGACTAAGAAAAAGTTCCAGATATTTGGAAGTCGTAAGTAACTTACATTATCGGCATCAACCTCAGAAATTATCTCTCTGATGGTGTTGTCATCACCCATTCCATGCTCCTTCATAGCAGCCTCTAATTCATCTCTTGTAATGTACCTGTCAGTGGAAATTGACAACTCGGTAAGGAACTTCATTAACTTTCGCCTTATGACTGAGTGATGAAAACATATATTTATAAACAGTTTGGCTCCTTGCAAATCATGATATTACAAGCTAATAAACCTTATGCCTGACATACAAGTTGGATCGATTTAAGCTTGCAAGTTCACAAGGCTAGACTAAATTTATGAATCAATATGCGCATAGTTGTTTGAGCACACATCTAGTATGATCATAACGAGAAATTTATCCAAAGTAATTTATTTCGCGCAGTAGGATCAAGTGGTTGAATTTGACTTGATCAAAAACAGAAATCCAGTAAGACATTAGTATGCAGAAAGTATCACACAATAAATTTTGTCAACCCACCCGCTGCTTCCTTGTCAAAGTACTGAAATGCTTTGTACAGGTGCTCATCTCTTTCTAATCTTTGTCTATGCATAGTAGCAGATATAAATTCAATGTAGTCAATTGATCCATTTCCATCGACATCAGCCTGAAATGTGTTACAGATAAATCACAAAATTGCCAGAAGCAACAGAATTGAGTTCCTGAGGAATCGGTAACTACTTACAGCATCCATGAGTTGCCTAACTTCGGCTTCTGACAGCCGTGACCCAATACGCGCTAAACCTGTCTTCAGTTCTTCGTAAGTTATTGTACCACTTTTGTCAGTGTCCATATTGGTGAACATTGTTTTAAGGCCTTTAATTTCTTCTTCAGATAGATTCTCTGCTATGACCTGGGGGAAATTTTCAAATGAAAAAAGATTATTACGGGAATAAGACAGTTGAAGGTAAGAAGGAATTCTCTGGAAACTTTGCCAATATTGGGTGAAGATAGGAGCTTCTGAACATAGTCCGAAAAATTACCTTCAAAGCAAGTTGCTTGAGCTTATTCATTGCCCTGAACTGCTTCATTCTAGAGAGAACTGCACTATCTATTGGCTTGTCTGATGCTACTCCGCCTACTCTGAGCCACGGGTGCTCTGACCATACAGAATATTAAACATCAGTCAAAAGCACCCACAAAACAAAAGCTGGTGGTAATATGTGGCTAAAAGTCGATTATTGTAATGCAGTATATTTATCCTTTCAGCTTCTATTTAACTGCTAAATTTGGAAGAAAAAAAAAAACTAAAACATCGGATTATCCCTTGAATGCCAGCACAAGGCCTACTTTCTATCATGTGAAAAAGATGTCATTTCAAAGAGTTTATAACAAAGAAACACTTGAGAAGAATGGCCTATAAATCAGACAGAGGAAAATTATCGATTATAAGGTCTAAAATATCGATATTATCCCGAAATTTCAATCGAAATTTCCGTGTTTTTTTACTACCGATATTTCCAATATCATCGATATTTTAGACCTTGATAGGAACTCTATGTGGTACTAAGTCTATCTTACCATGCAATGTATAAAATGTAAAATATTGTACTAATTCATTATATATAAATGATTATGATGTGTTTAAACTTCTTTCATTAATTACTACATATTTTCTACACTCACAATGTTTGCCAGCTCGCTATATAATCAACTTAAATCAATTAAATCCATCATGCAATGCATTTCCTTCTAATTTTTTGTGATAAACTAATAGATAATTGACTAAATAAACATGCTGCAAAGTTTCAATAAAAATTTCCAAGTTTTTCTTACAATTTCCGTGGTTTTTATTCAATTTTTATCGACATCGATAATATCCCGATATTTCCATCGAAATTTCCGTATTTTTGGACTACCGATATTTCCGATATCATCGATATTTTACACATGTTTTACTTCATTGTAACTTTCAATCCAGCTAAAATAATGTTTAAGAGGTAACATACCGAGAACTTCTGCAGAAGTAATTCTCTTTCTTGGGTCCTGTGTCAGCATCTTTCTAACTAAATCTTTAGCACTGTCTGATATTGATGG